TGTCAGTTTGTTACATCTCACTCTTATGTCCTCTATGTCCCAGCTTAGAGGTCCGCCCAGAGGTCAGCTGCCTCTCCCAGCCTCTTCCAGCCTATATCTTTCTCTCTGCCTACTCTTAACAGTCTGAGCCTGGAGAAACCTACCTGCTGCAAGTGTGTGTGGGAAAGGAAGCATGCTGGCGTCTGCCCCGTGGTCATGGAGATGGTGGGCTTCCTTCTGCAGCCAGGAGGGCAAGTGAGTGCTGGTCTACCAGATTCTGACGGCTCTTCTTCCTGATTCTAGGTCATAGTCTGGAGTGCTACACCTGCCTGAACCCAGGTGGTGCGTGCACTCTCACCACCAACTGTACAGTTAATTTTGATGCATGTCTCTACGTCAAAGCCGGTAAGAGCCTCCCCTTTCTCTCCTAAGGGTAATGGGATGATGGAAACCTGGAAATATGTACCATTTAATAGCATCAGCTACATGCAGCACTAAGCACTTTTCATGTGTTTTTAATTGAACGCTTCTCACCTACCACACAGGGTAATGTTTTGTATTCTCAGTTCTTAAATGAGGAAACAGAGGCTCAGATTAAGCAACAGACTAAGGACAAGTAACCAACCCAGGATTTGAATGTGGGAATCCGTCTATTCCAATGCTTATTCTCTTAGCAGCAATGCTGCCTGCCTTCCCGTCTTTTAAGAGCCTCCCAGGTGTCAGAGTCTGAGCAAGTGGCTAGGGGTGCACAGATGAGGAAAGGAGATAAAATTATGGCAGAGGCCTGTTTATTAGCTGTCAGAAATGTGAAAGGGGAAAAGCGTTCCTGAGTGTGACAAAGGCAGGTGCCACCTAAGGTTTGTGGCCTCAGCGAGCAGGGCACTCAGGGAAACAGGGTTGGGGACTGCTAAGACTGCATTTCCCATATTGGTCAGGCTCTAGAAGCTCTATCTCCATAACCCTATTCAAACAGGATCTAGGAAGTGGTGGACAGAGGAAAGAAACAGCAAAGTCGTGCCCTCTTCTGTTCTTGGTGGATGTGGTTCTGGGTTGAATCTATGTATGGAAATGATACTGGCCAGGAACGGCTATGTCCGGGTCGCCTTAGTTAGGTAACGTGCACCAGTTGTATATGAGCACAGAGAAGTGGTTCTTTCTTAACCTACCACCAATAGGTTCTTTATAAAAGGTGTGTGTTTGATGGTAGAGGTGGGGAGGAGCCAGGAAGAGTAAAGTAGACTAGAGTCAAAATAATTTTTCCAGCTCTCAAATCCCATTGTTTCTTATCTCAATTATTAGGCTTTTATTTTAATTTTTTTCCAATTTTATCGAAGTAAAAATTGGGTATATTTAAGGTGTACAAGGTGCTGATTTGATGTACATATACATCATGAAATGGTGACCACAAACAATCTAAGTAACACATCCATCATCCCACATAGTTACCTTTTTTGTGTGATGGAGAACACTTAAGATCTATTCTCTTAGCAAACTTCAAGTATACAATATAGTATTATTAACTATAGTCACCATGCTGTACACAGGATCCTCAGAACTTACTCATCTTAGAATGACTTGTTAAGCTTTAAAAATGCTTGGTGTCTGACCTAACTTGTCTGGCTCAGTGGATAGAGTGTCAGCCTGCGGACTGAAGGGTCCCAGGTTCGATTCCGGTCAAGGGCATGTACCTTGGTTGCGGGCACATCCCAGTGAGGAGTATGCAGGAGGCATGTTTTTCTTTCTCCCTTTTTCTCTCTTTCTTTCTCTCTCTCTCTCTCTCTCTTCCTCTCTCTCTCTCTCTCAAATCAATAAAAACATTTTTTTAAAGTAAATAATCCCATAAAGTTGGTTATGAACTCCTGGGTGCAATCCTGATCTGTACAGAAGTGCATGAATGGATCTTAAGCTAATTAATATCTGACAGACTTTGAGAACTGAGCTAATGGATATACCTCCACCTACCAGTGGTCGGCAAACTCATTAGTCAACAGAGCGAAATATCAACAGTACAATGATTGAAATTTCTTTTGAGAGCCACAATAGGACATGTTAGAGAAGGTAAAACTAAGGGGACAGTAAGAAGTCAGTGGTTGCCAGTGGTTAGCTGAAAAAAGGGAGGGGTGATGAAGAAAGGCACAGAATTTTAGGGCAATGAAACTGCTCTCGTTGATACTATAACAGTGGATACATGACACCTTTGTCAAACCCCTTAGAATGGACAAAACCCAGAGTGAACCCAAGTGTGAATTATGGACTCTGTGTGATAATGATGAGTCATGTAGGTTCATCAGGTGGAAAAATGTACCACTTTGGTGGAGGATGTTCACTGTGTGGGAGGTGGTTTGGGGCGGGGGTGCCAGGGAGCTGTATGGGAACTCTGTACTTCCTGCTCAGTTTTGCTGTGAATCTAAAACTTCTCAAGGATAAATCTAGTTTTTAAGAAGGATAATGTGAATCTTAATTTTTTTCTTCTCATGAACGTAAGTCCCTTTGCTTAAGCTAGACATCTTAAAATAGATATATTCTGACCTTACAGTAAGGCAGATAGTAACAGAGCATCTAAATCCCCCTCCAGCTCTGGAGACATCAGCCTGAGGAGGGCACACTGTCATAAACACCAGTCAGAGGCCAGGCACTGCATTAGCGAAGGCATTTAACCACTCTAGCCACCCCCACGCCCACCCCCACTCCCTCCACACACAATCCTCTGGCTCTGAGGAGACTTTGGTTTTAGGGGAAAGTTCCACTGAGAGCTGTATCATCACTTAACTGTTCCCCTTTGCAACCCAACGGGGATGCCCGTTCTTGCCCACATGTCTCTACGGCCATAAGGTCAGTTCCCAGGAGTAGAACTGAGGGCTCCAAGGCAGGCACGGAACTTGACCCACTTGTTTGCTTACCCTTGTGTGTGTTTCTCCCACAGAGACACGAACATACTACCAGTGCTGGAAGTTTGAGAACTGCAACTACGAATACCTCTCAAAAAACTTAGGAGAGAATACTCTACAGTACGAATGCTGCCAGAAGGACCTGTGTAACAGAAGCGGTGGGACGAGCATAACGGGCACCATGGCTCTGCTGGTGGCTCCGCTGCTCACAGCATTCTGGAGACTTCTTATCTAAATCAATACCAGGAGAGTGTCTCCAAACTCCCTGCTTCTGTGTATTCCTTATCTCCTTTGCTGCCACAAAAGCTTTCTATTTTCTTACTGGATCCTTTGGGGAGAGACCAAAACTAGCTTGAGCAACTTGGATAAGAGAGAGGGAGAGGCCTGGAAAACCAGTCCTGTGTGCAGAGAAGGCCCCTCTGAGGGAAGACGTTTAGGAGTGAAGCACGTGCCATGACAGCTAGGTTAGTTCCATGCTGCCTCCTCTGCTCCGTGCCGCAATAGCTTGACTAGATTCTCTGCAATCGTCAGTTGTTTCCCCACTTGTTTCTTGGATGTAGGTACCAGTATGATCAGTGCTTTTGGGGAGCTGGGGGGAGAGGGGAGGTTGGAGCAGAGGGGGGCTCCCTCTGAGGGAAGACGTTTAGGAGTGAAGCACGTGCCATGACAGCTAGGTTAGTTCCATGCTGCCTCCTCTGCTCGGTGCCGCAATAGCTTGACTAGATTCTCTGCAATCGTCAGTTTCCCCGCTTGTTTCTTGGATGTAGGTACCAGTATGATCAGTGCTTTGGGGGTGGGGGGAGGTTGGAGCAGAGGGGGTCTTTTCACCAGTGTCTCTCACAGGGGATGCTTTCATCCCCTCCTTCTATGGCCCCTGTGTTGCCACATAGGCATGAGGAATGTTCCAGATGTGGGCTGTCAGGGGCAATAGGATTCTAAGAGCAGAGTGATTGGAATGACATATTCTCAACTAGAAGGTGTCTGGCAGAGCAGGAGATAAGCTTTCCAGGTAGCAGGGCAGAGAGGCACCAGGTTTGCCCTTTAGAGAGGTGCCAGTGGCTGAAATCTGAATTTTCTTCTTTTCCTAAAATTTGTATGGGCTTTGCTGTCTTTCCTTAAACACAACTTATTATCACTGGGAATACCTTTATGTGTATGTATATTGTAAGAAGGGAATGGTGTGTTCAAACTATTCCCCGCCCCTTTTCATTGGAGTGATGACATATTTTCGCTTTGTCACACAGTTCAAGACTAAATATTTGGACATTCTTTGCTACAAGTGCTTTACAGTATCGTGTGCTTATTTTGAGTATTATCAGTGGGAAAACCCTCCTGTGTGTGTATTGGGAGAATGCAGTGGAAACATGTCACCTCGAACAGCAGCAGGCCCACAGGGATGTTCTACCTGCTGACACAAAGCCTGGTGACTGCCAGCTGACGTGGCACAGATCATGCGATGTTCGTTTCTAAAGGCTGTTAGCATCCTCACAAATGTCAAGACTTTGAGCAGCTCTACCAGTTTCCTAAAGAGAGACCCCTTCTCAGGAGGCAGAGTTTTGCCTTTTGTGTGTGTGTGTGTGGTGGGGGGGCTGGTGAATAATTCTCAAGATCTGGTAGATTTAGTAACATTTATATTCTTATAACCTTGTCTGCTTTAACAGCATGGCCTGACTTGCCGATGAAAGTGAGATTTCTTGATTAACATTAAAAAAAAAAAAGCCTTGATTATGTAATCTGAGATAAAGCAGAATGAATAGTGCCTTTTTAAAAAAATATATTTTTTATTTTTTACAGAGAGCAACGGAGTGGGGGATAGAGAGTTAGAAACATTGATAAGAGAGAAACATCAATTTAGCTGCCTCCTGCACACTCACTACTGGGGATGTGCCCGCAACCAAGGTATATGCTCTTGACTGGAATAGAACCTGGGACCCTTCAGTCCGCAGGCCGACGCTCTATCCATTGAACCAAACCAGTTAGGGCAATGATGAGTTTTTGAAAATAAAATATAATCAAATGCTTGCATGAGGTCATTGGGCCCAGAAGGATAGCAGCATATGCAACATGCCCAGTGACAAGAGAGGGCGTGGGCAGTGCCAGTTTTCTCCTGTTGATGCCACAGACAAAGACTTCCTCATCCAAACCTAGCATTCCCTAGGTGCTCTGTGTTCCCTGTTGGCTCAGTGTTTCTTCTTACATCATCTTCATTCTGTTCCAAGACAAAATAGTTGTGACTCTTTCCTTCACAGGACTTTTTGTGCCTGAGGAAGTACTGACCATGCCACTAGCGTATAGGATTATTCACCATAAAACTTTTCTTTGTCTAAACTGAAGCTTCCTGTTTGTGCACACTTACATGATTTTGGAGTAAAATAAATGCCCACAGGACTGCTAGGTGGGTGTCTATGTGGGTCCGTTGTAGGTAAGGATGTCCTTTCCCCCAGCAGCTACCTGGGTCCAGAGCCTCTGGGATGGGTGGGGGGACAGCATGCACCCTGCAGAGGGTGGGTGCACTGAACTGGGGGTCAAGGTTCTGGGATTGTGGAGTGGGGAGCTTCTTTTCTGTGATGAGCTCTCCTAGGCGTGCTGCCATTCCCATCCTCGCTATTATTGGCTACATGCAAGTTAGCCAACCCCAGTATGTTGGGCCTACATATACAACTAGTGCTCACGCTGCCTCAACTCACCCCACTCAGTCTGGCAATATATTTTACAGATATGTCAATATCAACCAACCTGGCCCTTGAATGTGTTGGTGTGATATGGTGCTGTGGCCAGAACTGAAACTCAGCATTATAATTCATAAACTCGACTAGTATAGCTAAAAGGGGACCTGGCACTGAATTCTTCAACAGGCAATGTCATGGTCACAACTGGAGGGCTTACTGTGTGCCGGCCACACTATTTGTAGCACTGTGTATATGACTTCATTTTGCTCTGTAACTGAATAGTATTGCCTATACCCAAATCCATCAGGGTTTACAAATCACCTTTCTCTACTTATTTTACTGACTGCACTGTGTGCCTAGGCAGCTGCCCAAGGAGTGAGTAAAGTCTCTCCATGTCATACATAGCTCCCTCAGACCTGTGTTGCTCGAACTGGCTTGAGAAAGTTTCTGGGAGAAAACAAGATGGCGGCATAGGTAAACACCAGAGTTTGCTGCCTCGAACAACCACTTCAAAAATACAACTAAAAGAACGGACTTCATCCAGTACCACAGGAAGGCTGGCTGAGTCGAAATTCTACAACTAGAAGGAAAGAGAAAAGCATACCGAGACTCAGAGGAGGCGCAGTGTGGAAGTAAAATACTAAAGGGCCCCTTTTCACGCCCCTCTTACTGATTGGCTCTGAGGCCTTGAGCATGCTACTTCACCACTCCGACCCTCTGTGTCATCATCACTTGTAACAATGGGACCTGCCATAATGTCATTGGCTTTTTAGCCACGTGGCCTCTGCTCCCCCTCCCTCCTGATAACAGAACCCCAATCACCTGCTGGGGAGTCGCTTCCACCTGGAAGTGCAGTCTTGGGGGCCTTTTCATGAAGGGGGTCTGGCTGCCTCTAGCCAGAAGCTGGGCAGGGTCTCTCCTGCAATTTCAGTCTTGAGTGGAGTTAGGCAAGGACTGAAAATACTTTTTGGTTGAAGCTGTGAGTCTCCCAGGAAGGTTACAATGAACAGACAACTTCGAGAAGCTTAATCTGAGTTGGATTCTCTTGCATAAGACGGTGGGCAGCTCCTGGCATTGGTTCAGCTGCTCAACACCATCTCGTTGGGTGCATGGCATATTCTGGGTCTTTCCCTCCTGGTCACAGAGTGACCTCGGACTGCCAGGTCCAAGGCAGGAAGAGGACATGAAGAGAAAGCTTCAGTTTCCCGGAAAGCTGCCAGCTATTTTCTGGTCATATCTTCTGGCTGGAAATGCCTCATGGCCACCCCCAGCTGAAAGGGAGACTGGCAAAGCTGTTTTGTTTTTCCAGCCTCTGTGTCTATAGATAAGGCTGTAGGGCAGTGGTTCTCAACCTGTGGGTCACAACCCCTTTGGCGGTCGAATGACCCTTTCACAGGGGTCGCCTAATATCATCCTGCATATCATATATTTACATTACGATTCATAACAGTAGCAACATTACAGTTATGAAGTAGCAACGAAAATAATTTTATG